TATGTTTGATTGTGTGACAACGAGTCTTATACTCTACAAACACCGGAAATCTTATCGTCAAATGAAACTTTAATAAGTTCATTTGCAAATGAAATATGTCAGATTTATTTAGAAAACTTCATAATAGGGCTAAACAATAGTGACAATAGTGATCAGCAACAGTGGAATATAGTCGATGTCGACCCTGTCTATAATGCCTGTGTAACTGATGTGCAACTGAGTGGCAATCTACAACTAAGTAGGGTTATTCATTCGGTTAAGATACTAACAACTTAATTATGTACAGAAGTTGGCAAATTTGTCTTGTTATAGTGATTCTGGTTTATATCAATGAATCCAAATGTAAGTAGGAAGGAATTTAAGATAAAGTTTACAGCTAAAACGCATTTCTTTTAGGCGAAGAAATGATGTATCAATGTGTCGTATGGGGCGACCCACATGTGACAAGGTATGTATTTATATTGTCTGCAACTAACTCCACATATTTTTCTGTTATGTTTAGATTTCCATCTAATGAAACTGAAAGCCCAAGTGAAGTGTGGTGTCAAGAAGACGGTCTATTATGGTTGGTAAAAAATAAATACATTTACGCAACAAATTGGGTTAGCCATTATCCATATATAGTTCTTGATGTAAGTCAAATCTCCGCAAAAAATAGTGAACCCCTGGTCTAACGAACGAACGTTCCCAATTGTCAAACCGCTTTCGAGCCGAAACATAGTCGACCATGCTGATTCCGAATATCAATATGAAACGGACCGCTATGCCTTCAGAGACTGGGTTTCCGAAAAACCAGTTTTTCAGATACTCTGAAATTAAACCAAAACCGTTCTTAGTAAGACAAAATTGAAAAATATAGTGGGGAAGTTAAGTGAAAGAATTTGACCCATCTTTTAATATTTTGGATCTTAGGGCTACTTTTGAAATATCTTTTCTACCCGGGAATGTAAACATTTTTTCGATATCTTCGCGTTATGTAATCAAGTAGCTACTGTATAGGGGTATGATAGGAGAAATCT